TGCTTGGAGATACAAAGGTTTAGGAGTCTCCTTTCATTTTATATTTATACATTATTAGAGATTTAGTTTAATTTAATTTTTGTTTTTCGTTAAACAGGATATTATCAGTATCTTGGTACCTGAAGATGGAGAAGCCAAACTCTTGCTTGACATCCTAGACGAGCATGTATGGGATGACTTCGAAGTAGGAGAGGATGATGCTGTTTCTGACCCTGTTGTTGATAGTTGGCACACGATTTTAGTCCAACAAAAGAAGAAGATACACTTGAAGGATCTGTACCTATTAGATGTTAAATCCCGAGAAGACCAGCCATTGCCCAAACCGACAGATACTGAAGCTGTAGGAAGTGAGGATGTGTTGAAGAAGATGGAAGAAGGGTTTATAAAGATTAACGAGAAAATGGAAGAAGGGTTTAGGAAGATTACTGAGAAGGTTCATGAGATAGACACAAGACTGAAGTCTGTAGAAATGAAAATAGCTGATCAAAGGAGAGATTCAGATTTTATGGATTTTCAGTATGAAGATGTGGGGAGAGTGTATGAAACAGGTGGAGGATCAAATGCAAGAGGTAAAAAAAGATATTTATTTCTTTCCTCGCTCATAAGTGTATGTTCAAAAACAAAATTATTTTGCAATGTAGGTGATAAGGGTATGGAGAAGACACCTGCAGAGGAGACTAGGGACGCACCTGCACCTGCACCTGTACCTGCGGAGGAGACCAGGGACGCACCTGCACCTGTACCTGCGGAGGAGACCACAGACGTACCTGCACCTGCAGTGGAGACCACAAACGCACCTACACCTGTACCTGCGGAGACTCCTGAACCACCAGCAAAGAAACCACGCTACAAAATATGTATGCGGAAGAGTGCTGAGGCTAAAAGGACGGCTGAGCTCATTAGGAATAGGAGAAAGGGTAAACCATCGAGGCATATATCCACTCCTTACAAAAATGATGCACCAGGAGAAAGGAAGAAACGAGAGGCTGAAAAAAAGAAGTAGAAGAAACAAGTTTTTTTTTGTTTTTGTTGAAACTAGTTATTGGTTTTTGGTGAAACTTGTAGATGGTTTAGGTTGAAACTAGTAGGAGGTTTTTTATGTTTGGTGAAACAGGTTTTAGTTAAAACTACTAGGAGGTTTACTGTTTTAATTAAATTATGTTTTCAGATTTTAGTACACTGGTATTATTGCCGTACAACTAGTGTTATGAAACTAGAACAAAAGATTTTCAGCCCAAAACCACATGTGCGCCGTCAAATTACACGAGCGCGTCAAATTACACGAGCGCCGTCAAACTACACGAACGCCAGCAAAATAATTATAAAAATAATTAATTACTTTTTTCGCACCGTCAAATAATATACAAAGTTGTACCCAAGTAGGTAAGTTGTACTCTATTTTTTTTTATTACACAGAGTTGTACTTTCATAGATAAAACGATTTTATTAGTTATATCGTACTAGAAATTACATTTTTATAGTTGTACTTTTGAAAATAGTTAATAATAAGACATTTAAGACACATATAGATAATTAAATGTATAAAATTATGTTTTTTTGTTAATTTCTTATAACTATATAGCATTAGTTATAATAGTTGTCATAGAAGTATAAGGTATATGTTATGAAAATATGATTTTTGTGTTCTCAATATTCAAAAATGCATCAAGTTGGATTTACATCATCAAAATAGATATGAAACTAAATCCTTAAACACATCCTGCTTTCCGAAATGCGGAATTAAAAAAAAAAAAAAAAGATCCAGTACCTGATAGTTGTACTAGTTGTACCCGATAGTTGTACTAGTTGTATTCGATAGTTGTACTAGTTGTACCCGATAGTTATACTAGTTGTACCTGCATAGTTATACTAGTTGTACCCAATAGTTGTACTAGTTGTACAGCGATTACTATTCTCCTTCCTCTTGCTCTGGTACATTAGGATCATTATACAACCATGCTCCTAGTCCTCTTCCTCTTCCTCCTCCTCTTCCTCCTCTTCTTCCTCTTCCTCTCCCTCGATGTTCTCCAAGTGATGGATGCCTAATTGTGTTGATGCGTCCTTTTTTCTTAATTATTTCTGGAGGAAATATACATTTTGCTCGGATATGGTCAGGAACAACCCAGTCATCTTTATGGGGGACTGGATAGATTGTCCTGCAGTAAGCCAACGACCAATGTTCCATCCAATAATAGTGGGAGCAAAATTCACGTAGATGGAGCTCTCTATCCCCGCTCATAAAGATAGCAGCTGCTATTGCATGCACACACGGATACTTATCGATATCAAACCTCTTGCAACTGCAACTTTTATTTCTCATATCAACCAGATAAACCTTGCCATCACGCCCAATCACATTGTACTCAAGGTGGTAGCTGTTTAACTCATGCACCGTCAAGGTATTTGCTTCCACACATCTCACATGCATTTCGTTCTCCACATATGGCACAAGCTTATGTGCCGTAGAAACTTCATTAGACGCCTTCCTATACTTGTTAAACCATTCAGCTAATTTTGCAATAATCACATCAATCATTGGTAACAGCGAGTATTTCCTTGCTTCTACAAAAACGCCATTGATAGATTCTGCACAATTGGTGGTGTCTATGTTATACCTGTCTCCGGGAAAATAGCATCTTGCCCATTTCTCCTCACCAACAGTTCTGTCCAGATAGTCGGCTGCATCTGGATACATTTTCCTAAAAGCACTATATAGTGTCAAGAATTCATTCTCTGTATAAGCATGAGCACAAGCTCGGAACTTCTTCGCACAAGTTGCTCTATTGACTCCACTGACATTCCCTTTCACGTTTTGAGACAAATGATATATACAAACACCATTCTGAGACAATGGAAAGACCTCACGTATTGACTTGAGGAGACTTACGTTTCTATCAGAAAGAAAAACCAGTTCAGGAACTGTACAACTGATCTCAACTTGCTCATAAACCACATCCAACTTGCCTCTTTCTCACCATCAACTACACCAAAAGCAATTGGATAATGGTGATGGTCAGGATCCTGAGCTGTAGCAACAATTAAAACACCACCATATGCATTTTTAAGGTGGGTAGCATCCACAACAATCACTTTTCTCATGACTTGAAAACCCTCAAGGCAAGCTCCCAAGGCAAAGAAAAGATACTTAAACCTGTTTCCCTCATCCAATTCCACATAAGTGCGTGTACCAGGGTTCATGTACTCTAGCATATACAAATAAGAGTGCAACAACTGATAACTCTCCTCTGGACTTCTCCGCACATCATTAGCAGCTGCTCTTTTACCTCTCCATGCAGTAGAGTATGATACTTTAACACCAAATGCGTTTTGAACCAAACCAATCAGTTCTTGTGGTGCTGGAGTTTTAAGTTTGCCTGGATAATCAGAATGACAAATAGACCTGACCAACTGTGGTGTGCCTTTCCTTCGATTTTTGCTTGTAACTGTAGTAGCTCGAGAACATGTATGAATCTTGATGTACGTTCTAACTGAGAAAAGATCTGAATTCTTCGTCTTTGCAGCTCGTAAATACCACTTACACCCATCTTTTGCTCCACGACATTTTAACACATATCGACGTGTATCTGACTGGATGATATCAAACTCAAAACCATTTTTACGGGAGGCTACAAACACTAATTCTTGTAATGACTCCTTTTTGCCAAATTCTTGTCCTACAACTAAATCAATACCATCTCCCATGTATGATTCACGTACACATCTCCTTTTACAGCAGGTGCCACCTCAATATCATCATACATACCAAAGTCTTCATGCACATTATTTCCAACATCTTCACCATCTTCACCATCTTCAGCATCTTCACTAACAACATCTTCTTTCTGCGGTTCTGATGGTTCACCTTTGTAAAAAGTATCCATACCATCATTAACATCATCACCATGTTGTGGCTCTGACGGTTGCACAAATCCCTCATTTTGCTCAACATCTGTGATGAGCTCCACATGCAAAACCCTTCTACACTGATTATTATTCACTTGCATTAGATAACCAAATACATCTTCATCATTCCGAACATATGATGGCTTCTTGGGATCCAATATCAGTGGAAAGTAGCTAAGTCTAAGCTGCGTCATAGCTCCATCTACCATAAGCTTTTTGCAAATTTTATCAACCAGTCCATTGTAAGTGATCTCTTCCATAGATGTCTTAATCACTAAAGTATGAATTTCAACCTCTTCTGAGTTCCACCTCATGTATTCACCGTCCTTTGAATAACATCCCCCCGAATCAAAACATATGATTGTGCATCGAGTGTTACTCATCGTTCTGTTAAAAGAAAAAAATAAAAACTGTTAGAATATATTTATAGTTGTACACCAGTAGTACTAGTTGCACCAGTTGTCTAAGGAAAACCAGTTGTACTAAAAGCTTCTGGTTACAGATCGACGCTTCTGAAGATTCATACGTATTCTAGTACTCTAGTATACTTAAATAACCAATGTAAATCCCGAACAAACGTATACATAAGTTTACTAACAGAAAAAAAAACCACAAACATAATTTCTAAACCCTAAATGCATAAACTCGTTTTTTTGTTGAAAAGAGAAGAATTTACCTTCAAATCACGTTCTGGGTCGTCGAGATCAGCTGAAGAAATGCTGCAGGATATGTATTTGTCAAGGGTTGAAGATCGCTGAAGCTTCCAGAGTTTTGAAGGAAATCGCTGAAATTAAGCTGGCCG